CAACAATCTTTCATAGTTTAATAACGTTAAACACTACACTAGACATGTTTGTTATCAACAATCTTTCATAGTTTAATAATGTTAAACACTACACGAGACAGGTTTGTTATCAACAATCTTTCATAGTTTAATAACGTTAAACACTACACTAGACATGTTTGTTATCAACAATCTTTCATAGTTTAATAATGTTAAACACTACACGAGACAGGTTTGTTATCAACAATCTTTCATAGTTTAATAACGTTAAACACTACACTAGACATGTTTGTTATCAACAATCTTTCATAGTTTAATAATGTTAAACACTACACGAGACAGGTTTGTTATCAACAATCTTTCATAGTTTAATAATGCTAAACATTACACGAGACATGTTTGTTACCAACAATCTTTCATAGTTTAATAATGTTAAACATTACACGAGACAGGTTTGTTACCAACAATCTTCCCGGGTTGAACATTATTAAACTATTTACCTACAAAAAGGTGGACTTCCAAACATGTGTCAGGTTTAATATTAATTATATCAGAATATTACCTACAAAAAGGTGGACTTCCAAACATGTGTCAGGTTTAATATTAATTATATCAGAATATTACCTACAAAAAGGTGGACTTCCAAACATGTGTCAGGTTTAATATTAATTATATCAGAATAGTACCTGTAAAAAGGTGGACTTCCAAACACGTGTTAAGTTTAATATTTCCTATATCAGATGCATACACACATAATTGAGGGCCTTATTAAAGTCTGTATACTGTACGACATTGACGGTTGAACAAATATTAAAGCTCCATTCGCATCACCTTAAAACCATTTGTAATTGGTCATTATTTCAGGGAGTAACATCAGTACTATCAATCGCATTCAAGAAGCTAAGCCTTTCCGAAGAAAAGTGGGTGTTTACGTAAAAATACCTCTCGTAACATAATGCGTACGTTATGCTCTGCCTGCTGTACGGAACTATTTTCTGTGATGTCCAGTTCAATAGAAAATGTGATAAAAATATTCTAGTTCAAAGTTTTAACACCCCCTGAACCATCCCTACTAAGAGAGAGGACAAAACAAAGTCCATCCCACGGGGTGGAAGAACAGAAAATAGAGATTCGAAAGATGTTTAAAATGTAGGTAAAACGTTCTTTACGAACGAGCAACTTATTTCCTTGTAAGAGCAATAAGATTTAAAACATCTTCCAGGAAAAAGACCCATTTATTAAAAGAATAAAAACCTGAATCTTTAGAACAAACGGAATGTTTCATATTGCACTAGGGTTGAGGTCTGTCAATACAACGTAAATACAACCACTGGAGAAGTAAGATTTACAAATATAGCTAGCTACACGTATTCTGTCCAGCAATACACCACCTAGAGAGTAGCGCTAAAATGTTTGAACAACGTCAATACAACGTAAATACAACCACTGGAGAAGTAAGATTTACAAATATAGCTAGCTACACGTATTCTGTCCAGCAATACACCACCTAGAGAGTAGAGCTAAAATGTTTGAACAACGTAAATACAACCACTGGAGAAGTAAAATTTACAAATATAGCTAGCTACACGTATTCTGTCCAGCAATACACCACCTAGAGAGTAGAGCTAAAATGTTTGAACAAAACATTCTTAAAGCTAATGAAATTTGAGTAAGATTTGGTTGTTCTTCTTCCAGTTTTTAAGCCTTAAATAATTTCTACGATTGTATTTGTTTTTTGTGCAGTCTGTGATCCGTTCACAACATGAAAACTGTAGAATGTAAACACGTCATATGAGCTATGATAATAGATCCACTGAGAATGTTCAGTCTGTGATCCGTTCACAACATGAAAACTGTAGAATGTAAACACGTCATATGAGCTATGATAATAGATCCACTGAGAATGTTCAGCCTGTGATCCGTTCACAACATGAAAACTGTAGAATGTAAACACGTCAGAAGAACTATGATAATAGATCCACTGAGAATGTTCAGCCTGTGATCCGTTCACAACATGAAAACTGTAGAATGTAAACACGTCATATGAGCTATGATAATAGATCCACTGAGAATGTTCAGCCTGTGATCCGTTCACAACATGAAAACTGTAGGATGTAAACACGTCAGAAGAACTATGATAATAGATCCACTATGAATGTTTATTTTGGAATTCTTGAATAAAGCTATACAACGGGCTATGTTAGCCATAGCTACACAACGGACTATGTGAGCCATAGCTACACAACGGACTATGCGAGTCATAGCTACACAACGGGCTATGTTAGCCATAGCTACACAACGGGCTCTGTAAGACACAACGTCCCTAATTTTGAAATGATAGTCTAGAGGGAGGACAGTTAGTCAAGAACCAACTCTTGTGCTACTCTCGTATGACCGACAGGAAGAGTGTGATTATCGCTCAGAAGAAAGTCGATTGATACAACACGAACTATCTTCTTGTTAAAGAATAAAATATCCACTGCTTGCTTTAGGGTGTGTTAGATTAATTAATTAGCACAGCCAAGAATTACTTTTGATTAATTAATTATTTCAGTTTAAAACAACACAACGTAGCGGTCGTCACCTTCGTTCCTCTGCTGAATATAAATCCGCCCAGAGAGATGAACCGGTCTTAGATCCTGGCAGTTAGGATAGCCTTAAAACCGTACTACAAAGTTTTAACCGTCCGATTATTGTACTTGATTTTCTAAGGACTTGAGATGGAATTTTTATAATAACACCAGATGTCCTTACAAGATACACATAGAAATATTTATGAGCGTATTATACTAGCACGGCTAAAATATAGAGACCAATGAAATTTTCTGTGTAATAAAACATTAGCTACTTATCTATCTAAGACCGAAAGACCCACCTTCCGAAAGCGCTCGGGTTATAGAAGTCTTTAGTTGAGTTTTGAACCTACGTGTTTTTTTCCTAACATCATACCTGTCTATCTGTTTATCTGTCTGTCTGTCCTACTTTCTTTCTATATATCTTTTGTGGCTGTCCATTATATGTCTGTCTATGTTAGATTGAATTTATTGTTGTTTATCCAGCTGAATTCTAGCAGATCTGCCGCGTTTTTGCACAAGCGGAATGAATTTAGGTTTTCTTCTGTCCAGGTCGTATGTGTAAACGACAAAAAAAAACAGTGTCTTTACGAGAATAATAAATATCAGTTAGAATAACTTACCCAGGGACTTTTCTCCATTATCTAATCCGTCGAAGGCTTTACTTGTCATTTCAAAAAGTGCGTCTAATGGAGATGAAACGAGATTTCCGACTCCGGGGCTTTCGGGAGAGTCACTCTCGGATCGAGAATCGTCGTCAGCCGAGCGCGGCCGCCGTCTCTTAGCTGGCGGACTTTCCAGATCCCATGGTCGGACAATTCCCCGTTCAATCAGGTTGGTCCGTGTGCTGGGTTTGTGATTTAAAATGTCTTTGATGAAAAAAGAGCTCAACGGTTTCGTCGGGTTAGGAGCGGGCCTAAGTTGGATAGTACACAACCTTTTGAGAGGTTTGTAATATTCGTCGTCTGACGACGCTTCGTCCGTAGCTTCAGCGGATACGCTGCTACTCAGGTCGCGGCTACTTGTCTCTTCTTTCTCCGAAGAGTGATTTGATGGTAGCGTTGGAGACGAACTGGTGGCCTTCGTAGCAACAGGCAAGTCCTCGACCTGTACTACCAGATCGTCTGCAGAGTTAGACATTGTACGGTGGCACGACAAGCAAATCAAACAAAAACTGTCAGCCCTGCAGCACGAGCGTCTCACGCACCCTTCATTCAGCAAATTAAAAACACGTACTTTCAGAATGTTTTCGAATGATATGGAAAATGCTTTTAAGTCAGGAGTTTTCTTAAAAAAAACAAAACAATACACGTGAAACAGGTGAGTTGATTATAATATCTAACGCACGGAAGCCTAACGTTACTGCTCGCGGTCAATGGCGGATATGCAGTGTCTTGCTACAACGTAGTCAAGGCTTACAACCGTATGCTGAGGCGTCCTAATGAATTATGACTTATATGGAAGGAAAGCTGCCGGACTCACGGGCCGCCGCTCTAATCAGCCAGCCCCGGTAAAAACGTCTAATTGGGGTAGTCACTAACTCTCGTCATACAGTCAAGCAGGACGTCGAGAAGGCCAACAAAGATAGTAACTGTCAATATCGGAGCGCTCAACCAATCCAACAAGGTCTAAAAATTGACGGAGGAGGGATGGAACGAGTACCATCTGATTGGAGCAGCACGAAACTTTGTGGCACCTGTTAACTGGACTGTCCGCACGTTCTTCAGTCGTGATTGAAAGCCTGGGAAAACAATAACGTTAGAGAGTTAAGCAAGCTGAAATCTTTCGCTTCGAGGTGGTTTCGTCAGACGTAAGAACCAATCAGTGCAGGCTTAACAACAGCTAGAGTTAAGACCTCTCTAGGATGTGATTTATAAACGCAGCTGAACTATCGGCGTCAATTATAGTAACCAAGACAACATAGAAATGTATGTTAAAAATTACAGAAATAAAAATATTTAGTAACACCGCAACACAGCCGACAATCAACTAACCTTTCTTTTAACACGACTAAGCTTTGGATAAATAAGGTTTAGCATTATTAAACTATGGAAGATTGTTGATAACAAACATGTCTCGTGTAGTGTTTAACATTATTAAACTGTGGAAGATTGTTGGTAACAAACATGTCTCGTGTAGGGTTGAACATTATTAAACTATGGAAGATTGTTGGTAACAAACCTGTCTCGTGTATGTCAGGTTTAATATTAATTATATCAGAATAAGCCACGTCGTAAACAAATCCAGTTTCCTCCACTGATCCCAGCCACGTCGCAAACAAATCCAGTTCCTCCATTGATCCCAGCCACGTCGCAAACAAATCCAGTTTCCTCCATTGATCCCAGCCACGTCGCAAACAAATCCAGTTTCCTCTATTGATCCCAGCCACATCGCAAACAAATTCAGTTTCCTCCATTGACCCCAGCCACGTCGTAAACAAATCCAGTTTCCTCTATTGATCCCAGCCACATCGCAAACAAATTCAGCTTCCTCCATTGATCCCAGCCACGTCGCAAACAAATTCAGTTTTCTCCATTGACCCCAGCCACGTCGCAAACAAATCCAGTTCCTCCATTGACCCCATCCCAGCCACGTCGCAAACAAATCCAGTTCCTCCATTGATCCCAGCCACATCGTAAAATTCTTTTATGTATAGCTTCTGATTTAAAAGTCCACCCCATCTCCCTCGTACAAAGTAATTATATCATAAATACTTGTAAATGGTCAACCGAGAATTTTAAATTTAACGTTCTTAGCTATTCTAGGATGTTAAAACAAATCACTTAACCATTCGTTAAAGAAATGTAAACTGTCAGAAAAAGTAAAACCGTTTCAAGTCGCGAAAATATGATAGTTTGTAGATGAATTCGCAAAAGGTGGACTTCCAAACACGGGGATCAATGGAGGAAACTGGATTTGTTTGCGACGTGGCTGGGATCAATGGTAAATATTAAATGTGATAGCCTGTTACAAAGTATTTGTGTTTTACTCAACACGGTCTAATAAAACATGAAATCTATTAATTACTATTTGTAACACTCAAGAACCACCATTTTGAATCAATGTATAGCTAAAAGAATATTTCATAGCATTTAATACCAGCTGGTGAATTACTAGATTCCTCAATTCTTTTATAAATGCTCCAAAACACTCATAAGAATTATACTTTTACATTAAAGTATTATGATTTAAAATTAATTAGAAAATTAATTAATGTCTCTCTTTACATCACTGCGTAATCTACACATGAAAAATGAAATATATATAATTTTATGTATGTATCTATCTATGTATATATCAGTTAAGCACAATTATATAACACGCGGTAATATGGTAAATGTAGATATTGACCCGAGTATAACTATAATTTTTTTGTCGTGGAAATCTCTCTTGGTCTTTAATCACGTACCATATAAATCTTTCAGAAATAATAGACAAATTGTACTTTTGTTATATATTAAAGTCCCAAAATAGTCCGGACTGCGACTTGGAAAATCATGATCAGCTTTCATTTGCAGAAAAACGTGTTTCTCTATAAGAGTGGCATTCAGGTCAAACTTTTCGATCAAGCGAGTATAATTCAACAGTTGCCGGTGAGTGTGTTGTCTTCCCCTCCAATCTGTCAGTTCAAAATTTAGGGACGGCTATGCGCAGACACGCCTCAATGTAGCTTTATCTAAACGTCCTGAAATAAAGAGACAACACGTTTTGTTTTTTTTTTTCAAGTATTTAAGTTACGATATGAAAATAACGCTTTCAAAAGCCAAATCCGGATTCAGGTAAGTCACTGAAAGACATATTTTTATTGGTTTTTATCGATATCCTGATTCCTTTGAATCCTGGCGTTACCTATATGGTATCATATAATTCTTTTTTTTTTTTAAAGATCGCGGGTATATTGTCGCATAACGTGTGTTTCTTGAATATACTTTTTTATTCGCAAGTAATTAAAAAAAAGGAAGCACGAAGATTAGTAAATCCCTACGTTTCTGTTTACCACCCACGGTCGTGAAAATTACGCCTGTTTCCATAGTGACGTGTGTGTACAGCTTCTTAGAATACTTAATTACGTTTATTTAATCGACATCACGTTAAATCACGCATTTTGGGACACTAATATAGTTTGGTTTGTTTGTAGTTACGCACAAAGCTACACATTGGGCTGTCTGTGCTGTGTCCACCATGGGTATTTAAGTCCAGTTTCTAGCGTTATAAGTCCGAAGACTTACCGCTGGGGGCATGTATTGTGGTAGTGTAATCGTTTTTTTTTTCGATAATCTTTTTTTACAGTCCTATGGTTCGTGTCCCGTCACCCCCCCCCCTAAAAAAATGTTCGTGGATATATTACAAAGTGTCTATCAAATTCTACTATTTGGTTAGAGTTGGCTGTGGGAGGTGTTAACTAGCTACCTTTCCCCTTAAACATTTGGGACGGTTAGTTCTGTGTGTAAAATCCAACAGAACAAATTCACAGCACAGATAGCCCATTGTGAAAATCTGTGCTTAACAACAACATAGAATTGAACAAAAGTATTATCATTATTGATCCCAGTAATAATGGACCCCACCGGTAGTGAATGGTATAAAAACAAGCTTAGGGTTAAGATTATTGTTTTTATAAAGAAATCCCCGTTTATTTCAAGCTTGGATTTTCAACAACCCCCATGACTTGTAAGTGTATGAAATCTGAAAGTAGACAGTTAACGCTATGTGAATATCCAGGTTTTTAACGAACGTCGACTAGCGTTAAACGCCGCAAAATGCCGTTAAATATCTTCTGGAACTTTCGGCTGCGGAGGGCGTTACAAGTGTGACAGTGACTCCCGTTATTCATTTAGATGTAGGCGATGTGTGCTACTGATTTCTTGGTCTTCTTCTGGTGAACGGTTTTACTGAACCATAGCGCTTCTGACCTAACCGTTTAGCTCGTTCTCGTATAGGCCTAACCAATGAAGGTTGAAAATACCAAAATATAGGTTTGTAGTAACCATAATTTTAATACCTCCATTATCTGCTATTCAAACTACGTACTTATTAATTACCGAAAGTAATTGAATACTGTATGTATTAGCAGTATAAGTTCGCAGACATACCACTAGGGGGCACTGTTTTGTTTTGTTTTGAAGTTAAGCACAAAGCTACGCAATGGGCTATCTGTGCTCTGCCCACCACGGGTATCGAAACCCGGTTTCTAGCGTTGTAAGTCCGCAGACATACCGCTGTGCCACTGGGGCGGGGGGGGGGGGCACGGTACAGATAAGCACGGATTTTAAAACACTTTCTGCGGAAATAATGCTAAACCTTTCCACGGAAATAATGCTAACACTTTCCGCGGAAATAATGCTAACACTTTCTGCGGAAATAATGCTAACACTTTCCATGGAGATAATGCTTTTCCAAATAGTGCATAAGGAAAGCTTAAGAACAAGTGGATGGAAAACTCTTTATCAGCTTCTAATACTAGTCTTGATGAAGCCACGTTGGCGAAACGTTGGCTGAAATAAAATGTACTTTTATTGTTGCCCGAAGAGTAAAGGTCGTTTTTTCTTTGTCAAAATTTCAAATCCCTCCTACGTGCACTGAAAATTCTGAAAAACAAAACAAAAAAAAAACTCTTTATCAGCTTAGTTTGTTTCGGATATTCGCGTAAAGCTATACGAGGGCTATCTCAGACACGCTCCTAATTTTGAACTGATATACTAGAGGGAAGGCAGTTTAGTCAACAGCACCCATCGCCAACTCTTGGGCTACTGTAACAGAATAGTGGGATTTGACTGTAACTCTTATAACGCACCCACAGCCCCTAAGTGCGGGGAGCGATTTTTGTTGTTGTTTATACGAGAAGAGGATCCACAGTCCGGCACGCTAACAACTAGGCTACACCCACACCCTCTTAATTAAAAAACACGTTTTACCCTATACTAGAGCCTTCGTATTTAACCTATGACGTCTAGTGCGACTTTCGGCCAGGACTCACAAATCACAAAACATTTTGCCATAAAAAAAATGTATGTCATAACACCCCAAAAGTTCCACTAAGTCAAGCACATAAAAGCATCGAAATAGTATTTTGAAATACCAAAATTAGTAATTAAACAAAATCAAATATTTAGGGGGTTATATAAACATCACCTCATTAATTAAAGGTCAGTCATTATAAAAGAATGCGTTGTTTATAAGTCATATTATACACTTCAAAAAAAATCATTTGGGATTATAGACGCCCTCCCCCCTTTTCATTTTGTAAGGATTAATAAAATTTAAATTTT